CCCCCCCCCCGCTGGCCACATTGTGGTAACATACGTGAGCAGTTTGAGGACAGGAACTCTCAGTTATCTTTATGGCCCTTGCATCTATCACATCTGGACACCCAAAAAAGGTGCCTTGCCGACCAGATGAGCAGCTCAGTGAGGGGGCACTTGCCTGGCGAGCAGAGGCCCCAGGCTCCAGCCCCGCCCTTCAACAGGGTGTTGAGTGAATTTGACAAAATCAGGTCTGTGAGGGTCACAAAGCGTCAGCTGACTTGGAAGCATCACATGCCCGTCTAGCACCTCTGGGTGAGGTCTGGGAAGGCTGTGTGGCCAGTGGCATGGCTGAGCAGGATGGGAGGGCGCTGGGCCGCAGAGAGGCAGTCTGAGCAGTCACTCTGGTGCTCCTGTCCCACCGTTCTCATACTGTCCCTTTCTGCCACTCCGGGCAGTCACGTGGTGTTTCTGCTTTATCCACAGAGGACTGGTTTTTAAGTTTGGCCGCACAGAAGACTTGTGGCAGTGAAGGCGAGGTTCATGCAGCTCGAAGCCCTGCGTGGGTGTCCCACCGCCCACCCCCCGTATTTTGTGAAGCCATTTTCTAAACTTATTTCCGAGTGTAGTCTCCGCTTCGAGGTGCGCAGTGCTGAAGTCACCAGCGCAGCCAGCCCAGTCACCTGCGGTGTGCACTGATTAACTCGCAGCGCCGAGGGACACTGTTTCACACGAGGACTCCTGTCGGGTTTTATCATGGTCTGATTTGTAAAATTAAAATAAGTCACAAAAGAAATTATGGATTTATGAATATAAGAATTGTTTGATTTGAGTCCAAAACTACAGTGAAGTGCCCCAAGACTTAATGTGGTTATTTAATTGTAGCCTCTTTGTGTCAAATCTTAAATATAAACATTTTCTTGTTTTTCAAAACTATTCAGTGGCCAGCCTTCTTTCTCATTATACTTTGGTTTTGGTTTATGCAGTTTTACCAACAATTTCTGTCCACATTTCTGCATAAGTAGCACCTGAGGGGCTCCCATGGGGGAGCGAGCACATTGGAAGAGAGAGGCCTGTGACCCAGCTCCCGGGCACTCGTCCACTGCCACGGATTCGGGAGGAAGGAAGAAAGATGTAACACAGCCAGGTCACAGCGTCCCGGACTCTAATGTTCACGTTTATCGTTGAGGGAAAGAGGGAAAGGAGAAGGACTTGACACCTGCTCTCAGGCGACACCATTTCTTTGTTGTTCTGATAATAAATTGGGATCCTGTGTTTCATTTTATATCTGAGCTGAGCCACTCAGCTCAACAGACCAGCAAGGTCAATCATAATGACATTTTAGCTACCAGAAGCCCTGAGTCTGTTCCTCTTGGAACTCCTTTGTCCCCCAGGCTTCCTATCTCTGCAAAATAGGGTACATGTTAGCCTGCGTGAAACACAAGCTCTATCTTCGATGAATTGGATGTATGGGACTCTTCCATGTCAGCCACTGTCTGCCTACTGGTAGTTTGAATATTTCCCTGTCATCAGGACACTGTTCAAAGAAATGGAAATATTGCTGCTGTCATCCCCCAAGAAATGACTCACAAGGTTTTTGGGTTTTTTTTTTTTTTTTTTTGGATCAGGGATTGAACCCAGGGGTGCTTACCTGCTGAGTCACATCCCCAGCCGTTTTTTGTATTTTATTTAGACATAGGGGTCTCAGTGAGTTGCTTAGGGCCTTGCTAAGTTGCTGAGGCTGGCTTTGAACTCACAATCCTCTTGCCTCAGCCTCCAAAATTGCTGGGATTACAGGCATGTTCCACCATGCCCGGGGGCTTATGAGTTTTTTTGCATAGATGTATAGAATGTGGAAATGGGAGGGCATCTCACAAGTTGAAATCCATCCACTCTTCTATACATGAAACGACCATGGAAACATCTTCCCCCAAGGTCAGGTAACTAGTTCAATCCTGAGACAGTCCATCTCCATCCCACGGTTGACCCCAGCCTCTGTCCCCACAATGCAATTCAGGACAAGCTCAGAGTGCTGGGCTAAAAGCATGTTTGCAAGGACTGAATGTGAGTGAGTTCTTCATTTTTCCAGTTTGTATCTCTGCTCTGCTGCTGCTGCAAACAGTTACCTGTCTAGCACCCTTCTGTTAAGCATGAGAAAGAATCTAATGATTGTTAATAGAATTGAGCCAAAACCTTAATTATGTGTCTGCATAGTATCATCTGGTCTGGTAGTATCATCTTTAATGAAATCATATTATTTGAAACTATCATTAAATTACTACTTAAGCAAGTTTTCAGTATTTTATTTTTTAATGTCAAATCCATCTCTGACCTTGTGCCATTCAACATAAGAAGACCTTGCTGTAGTGATATCACGTACAAAGATGGGCACCAGGGACAGGAAGCTGGCTTGTTTCCAAGATCAGTCTGTCGTGTTATTCTTGGATGCTTTTGCTTAAAATCCGGCAGCCAAGTGAGGAAACTGTAAAAGCAAAGCAAACATTTATATTAGAGATGAACCCTCTTACATTTTATATTCATACTGATTCCAGTTTTATCCTTTTTTTTTGAGACAAGTTCTCATTAAGTTGCTGAAGCTGGCCTCAATCAGCGATCCTCCTGCCTCTGCCCCCAGTAGCTTGGATTATAGGTGTGCACCACCTCGTACAGCTGTGGCTTGAACTCTTGAAGCTTATATGAACCTAATTTTTTTACTGGTTTATTTTAGTTGTAGATGGACAAAATACTTTTATGTATTTATTTATTTTTGGTTACTGGGGATTGAACTCACAGGCACTCGACCACTGAGCCACAGCCCCAACCCTATTTTGTATTTTATTTAGAGACGGGGTCTCTGAATTGCTTAGCACCTCACTTTTGCTGAGACTGGTTTTGAACCCGTGATCCTCCTGCCTCAGCCTCCCAAACCACTGGGATTACAGGCATGTGCCACCACACCCAGCCCATTTTATTTATTTTTATGTGGTGCTAAGGATTGAACCCAGTGCCTCACATGTGCTAGGCAAGCGCTCTACCACTGAGCCACAACCCCAGCCCCTGAACACTTTTTTTTAATTTTGTTACCCAGGCTGGCCTTGAACTTGGGATATCCTCATGCCTCAGCCTCCTGAGTTGCTGGGATTATAGGTGTGCCTCAGCATACCTGGCGCATTTAGATTAATAGTCACTTGGTGTTTGTTTGAAAACCTCTAGTAATGGAAACTGGGCGCTCACTTTTTTTTTTTTAGAGAGAGAGAATTTTTTAATATTTAGTTTTTAGTTTCCGGCGGACACAACATCTTTGTTGGTATGTGGTGCTGAGGATCGAACCTGGGCCGCATGCATGCCAGGCGAGCACACTACCACTTGAGCCACATCCCCAGCCCTGGGCGCTCACTCTTATCACATGAAGTAGCATACTCCATTTTGCAAACAGTTGAAATTGTCGGAAGTGTGTTCTGCATCCCCCACTGGGCACCGAGTTCTTCAGTGCCTGGTCAGCCTGCCATGCTGCCAAGCAGCCGCACTGCGTGTTTTGTGACTTTGGGTTACAGTCCTTGGCTGGAGATGGGGTGCTGACCTTGGGGGCATTTCCTACAGATCAGTCAGGGCACAACTACCCAGTGAGAGAGTGGCTAGCACGACCTGCATTGCAGAGAGGGGAGGCCAGTGTTCTACAAGCTCACGTGAGGAGAGCCCAGGTCTGGCTGACTCCAGAGCATTTTGCTTTGTTTAATATTTATTTAGTTGTAGGTGAACACAGTATCTTTACTTGTTTTTAATGTGGTGTTGAGGACTGAACCCAGTGCCTCACACATGCAGGGTAAGCACTTCACCACTGAGCTACAGCCTCAGAGCGTTTTTAGAATGTGGAGTTTGATCTCATTTTATTTTTATTTAAAAAAAAATTTTTTTTTT